TCAAACGATGGAAGGCTTACGGACGTACTCAGTCTCAACGGCGCCCGTTTTGTAGGCTACTAACCGTCACCAGAATTTAATTCTGGCTCCTAAGATATCGAGGTCCCACGTCAACTGACGCCTTTTCGCGAGACTGCATTTCATGCGCATTAGCGATCACGAGCAATCTATATACAGGCTCCGATATCTCATTCTGGACTGCTATAGTAGTAGTAACCCGCTCTACCTTCTATCTTATTGTCCTAAGCAGTTTTTCTCCTACACTGTTTTTGAAAATGGAGCCCCATTGAACACCTCCTCCATCTTTTTTCACTGCCTATTTCTAAGTTCAAAATTAATTTAATCGCTAACTATTGCCCTAGAAGGGCAAGTTCTGCTTCTGTTATAACGAATTTGTATATTTTATCGGTATACATTGCCATAATTTTAGATAGTGCCACCACAGTGCCAACAAATAGAAATTCTATAGAAATAAGGCAAACTTAAGCGGGAAGTTAGTACAATTATCTAAAGAGGACAAGTCAATTTCTCGAACTTTAACAATAGATTGAAGAGTAACTTCATTGGTCAGACTACTAGCTGTTCTCAGGCTAAAGATGGGTCCAGAGACTTGGAACTTTCGACGAGTTGAGACAGTTGTTCTCCAATTTTGTCAAAGATCCCGGCGAGCCGAATTAATTTAAGAAATCTAATTTATGTTAACCTACTGAGATAATAAGGCTTTCGTCCGTAAACCATGATTCAGTATATATATGGGGAATAGGCAGAGCCTTTGAAAGCCCTATTTACAGATAGGTGCTGTGAGATCATGCATGTGTTTCAAAGCCCTATATGTACATTATATAAATTGTTGTTGCCTACCAAATGTAGGACCAACAAGTTAAGTAAGATCGGGTCTTGTTTTAAATGTGTAATACTTTCAGCAAGAAAAACTGAGAAAGGAAGTTTATTTCAGTCCTCAATGACCCGGTGGGAGAAGAAGTTGGCCCGCACTTCTAGCTTGGCATGGTGTTTCTTCAGTTATTTCAGTATAATTAAGTATATATAAGGGAGATAGGCAGAGCCTTTGAAAACCCTATTTACAGATAGATTCTGTCAGATCATGCATGTCGTTCAAAGCCACATATACATTACGTAAATCGTTGTTGTCTACCAAATGTATGACTAGCAAGTAAAGTAAGATCAAGCCTTCTTTAAAAATGCGTCGACGCTTTCAGCAAGAACAACTGAGGAAGGAATTTTATTCCAATCTTCAATGACCCGGTGGGAGAAGAAGTTGGCCCGCACTTCTAGTTCGGCATGGTGTTTCTTCAGTTTGTACGGATGACCGCGTAGATGTATCGTTTGTGCGAAATCAAAGAAGTCAGCCATCTGAATAACACAGTCTACTCCCCTGACGAGTTTAAACACCATGATCATATCTCTTCTGTATTGCCTATGATAGAGAGT